TTAATTATGAAAGCATTCCTTGTCTTATTCATTATTCTCTAAGCATTCATTGATTCTTTGAGCACTTTCTATATCTATATTTATCTAGCTATAGATATAGATAGATAGAGAGGTAAATTGATAGAGAGAGAGAGAGAGATAGACAGGCAGGCAGATAGATAGATAGATAGATAGATAGATAGATAGATAGATAGATAGATAGATAGATATTTCTAGGCAGGCACTGAAGAGAATTTTGAATGAGTAAGATACCAGCTTTACCCTGGAAGAATTGACAGTATAATGGAAGCCACTGATGAACGTCACACAAAGTCAGAGTATGTTAGGACAAGCTGTGTTAGAGGAATAGAAGGGGCTCTGGAAACATTGAGGGAGGAACATGCTAAGCATACAGGATGAGCTATTAATTTGCAGATGGGTGGGGATAGAGGTTAGAAAATAAACAGATTACTTAGAGGACTTTTGGGGAGAGAAAGAACAGAATTGTTATTTTAATGTTTATTTAGATAGTATTCTCATAACATAAAATATACTCCATTAAGGTATACACTTCGGCTTTTAGTGTATTCACAGTTACACAGCCATCACCACTACTTAGTTTTACATTTTTATTACCTCATACCCATGAGCCCTCTCTTCCAGCCCCCAATCTCCTAGCCCTTAGCAGCCACTACTCTGCTTTCTGTCTCTATACACTTGCCTGTTTGGACTTCTGATGATAATAGGCTTTTATGTCTGGTTTCTTTCACTTGGTATAATGTTTTCAAGATCCATTCATGTTGTAGCCCGTACATGCGTTTCATTCATTTTTATTACCGAATAAGACTTCATTGTATGGATATACAATGTTTGGTTTATCCATTTATCGGATGACAGATGTTTGGGTTGTAGCCACATTTTGGCTACCAAGAATAATATTGCTGTGAATATTCATGTACTGTTTTTTATATGGACATGTCCATGGGATAGAATTGTTGGGTCATGTGGCAACTCTGTTTAATATTTTAATGAATTGCCAAGTTGTTCTCCAAAGTCACAGCGCTGTTTTATCACACGTCCCTCACCCCCAACAGTGCGTGAGGGCTCCAACTTCTTCACACCCTTGTCAAAACTTGTTATTGCCTGGGCATTCAGTTGTTTTGAATGAAAATATAAAGTCATTAAAATAGAAAAAATTCCAATTAGGCCTTTATATTCATTTAAGGAAGCCCACATATAAGTCAGGTGATGCTAGAACTTAAAGCTGAATGCCACTTTGTAGCTCTGTGTACAAAACAACTCTATTGGAGACTAATTATCTTATCACTAATGTTCACCAGGTGGTTAGGAAATACTGGTTTTCTTTTACGTCTAATTGAGAGGTAAAAGGTGGTGAAATTGTGTGTAATGATGTTGGAAGTTAAACCCATTTCTGACATGCAATTAAATATAATTGAAATAGGACAAATTGAATAATAAAATTAAATTTGCAAAATACAGACATATTAAATGGATGCTATTCTCTAGGAGAGTTGGGTGGTGAGTTGCCACTAGGGTTAAAGCCCCACGTTTCTATTTGGCATGCTTCCACCTGCCCTTGCTTGCCTCCCTACTTCTCTACCCTGGCACATCAAAGGAGTTCATGAGACATTCCCCCTCCAACACCCCATGCAGAGAGGTTTGGTTAACATGCCCTGGAAGGAAAATTGATTCTCCAGTCCTATGGGAGTGACTTCCCAGTGCCTATTACTGGTTAAGTCTCAGATGCTTAAGACACTACCCAGTGGTCTTTGTGATATGCACTTCACCTGTCTTTCAGTCTCAGCTTCTGCCACTTTATCTGCACAAGATGGGATTCCCTAAGTGCAGCTGGCATAGTAGAAGGTATTAGATCTGGGAAATACACAATGGTTTAGGCAGAGTAATGGGGATGGGAAAGGTGGCAAGCTGCTTTAAATCAGGTGGGTTGGCCTCATTGAGAACGTCTCCTGGGATGAGGGCATCTGCCATGCAGATATCTGGGGAAAGAACTTTCCAGGTAGAGTGAACTGCCAGTCACTGAAATTACCTATTGTGGGAGCATTTGTAAAACTGATAAAATCCCAGGCCTCCAGGCAGTTGACAGGCTGGTTTTCTCCACTATTCTTTTTGTAGACAAATACATATTTCCTTTGGATTTTTGAAATTCTAAAAATAGTTTCAAGACAGATCTCTCCTTTGCCCTCACCTTGCCCTCTGCTTCTATCCAGTGCACTTTGTAGATTAATAATAATTGCCAGCCAGGTATTACTTTCCACCTAAGTCTCATGGATCAGATCTTTCTCCATCATTAGACCTGGACTTACTGTCTGTGAATTATGTGCCCCATAATCACCAGAGGATCAGTGATGTTCTGCTTTTCCTCCTGAGACACATTCCTTCCGCTCTAGCTTCTCTCCCTTGTTAATTTCCATCCACATTGCTTCTGTTTTATGCTAAATCTCTAAATACTGTCTGTGAATTTATCAGCCCATTTGATAAACCAGAGCAAAGAAGTATAGGTTCTTTTTTACCCTCTCATCAGCAGTTTGCATGAGAGGGACGTGCTTGATTCTTCTCTTTCCAGAGAAGAAATCCACTGTAGTCCTTGTATTTCATCCAAGCAATCTTTACCCCCTGCCATGTTTCAGCATAGATTTGAGTTTTGGGGAAAAGTGCTTTTGATCAGTAAAATTTTTAGAGGGCTTCCCTAGTGGCCTAGGAATTAAGTCTCAGTGCTGTCACAGCTGCGGCCTGAGTTTGATCCCTGGCCAGGGAGCTGACCCACATGCCACAGCAGACCTCTCCTGTCTCTCCTGCTGCTCCCGTCAGTGGTGTATTTCAGTAGATCCACCTGTTCTGCTCCCTGCTCTGTCTTTGGTGAATCCTCTCACCCTGCACCTCTGGCTGGGTACACCCCAGTTCTTCTATGCCCACTGTTTTTCACTGTTATCTTTTAATCAATATACTTTTTGTATAGGTGATTTTATATTTCCAGGTGGTTTTGGAAGCAAAGACTGGTTCATTTGAAAGTTAAAAGAAGAAATGCCTCAAGACCTGTCAATGTGAACAGCATGTATATTTCTGCATTAAATTTGCACTTTTCCCCATTTCTCATGTCTTTTATTTGCATGGATCAGCAACTTTAAATGTCAGTAGATATCTTGTTTTTTTAGAATGCCACACTTCAGGACTTCTTCCCAAGTTCTACTTCTTAAATAGAGATGGTGGAGGCTTTGTCATTTCATGCTAATAAGTGAAAATTGATCTGGGGATGTACTGACTTATGCTTGCTTTATGGCCAGTCTTTGGTTATATAGATACTAAAAAGGACATGTAAATGTATCTGTAGGTTTTAGAGAAAATTTTATTTCATCACATAGTCTGTACCTTATCAATGTGTCTAAGTTGTAGGTTGGTGCTTTTTTGTTCACTTTTAATTTTTTTGTCAAAGTAATAATCATACTTAATTTAATGGTCTAATAATATTTATAATATTTATTACAAAAGACAACAGTATATTACTTCATCTCTCTCTTCTTCTTCCTTCCCATCCTTGATGGTGTCTTTCAATTTCATTACCAGTGATTTGGGAGTATTTAGTTTGAGTGTTTCACATCAGATGATTATTTGGATATTTCCATATTTTTAATTTTACTGTTTATTAATTGTGGAAGGTGAGGGGTTAGCCTGCAAGCAGCTTGTTATCCCAGCACAATATCAAATGTTATTAAAAAGATAACTGTAATCAGAAGGAAGGATAGTATCAATTCTAAATTGTGATGAGTGTAATATTTCAGAAAACAAAAAATTGATTTTTTTGGCCTCCCTGGTGGCGCAGTGGGTTCAGTGCAGCACTGTGACGCTTGCCACAGCTTCTGCAGCTCGGGTTCAATTCCTGGCCGGCCAGGGAGATACCCACATGGCACAGTAGACCTCGCCTGTCTCTCCCGCTGCTCCCCTCCGCAATATTCTTGGTCCATCTGCCTATTCTGCTCCCTGCTCTGTCTCTGGTGAATTATCTCATCTTCCCGCGCCTCTGGCCTGTACCCCAGTTCTTGTATAAAAATTTAAAAAAAAGAAAAAAATCTTTCAAAAAAATGAGTTTTCATAATATATTGCCAAAGAACTGCACTAAATGCTAAATATTAGAGTTAATAGGTGTTGATGTGCATAACATAAGAATACGATAGGATTAACAAACTTGACTTAGCTGCAGCATTAAAACAGCTGATAAAGAAATGTTCATTTACTCTTACCTTACAGTAGTCATTTAAGTGAGTTTTGTTTTTAAGTGCCAGTCAATTAGAGTCTTAATCACCAAACATTTTATAAGGGGTGAAAGTTTAACCCCACTTAAAAGAACAAAAGTACTAAAGACCAAGTGTTCTGAGAGTCCTAGATTTGCATGAAAAACCTCACAAGGGAAAACAGTAAAACAGTAACTGCCTCAGCTTGACAAATGGAACATACTTTAAGATAATTGAAGGCTGTCTTTTATGCCTTCTCTTTGGTTCAGTTTTGATTTCCTGTACTTTATTTCTCTCTTAATTTTTTCTTAATATATTCTAAAGAATGTAAAACACTTCAGAGGATCTCATTACTACTTATGAAATTGCTTTCTGTACTATTGGATGTAGTTTTTTTTTTTTTTGTCAGTCATTCTTATAAGAAAAAAAGTATCTTTGAATAGGTTATTATATTTTAGCAGTGTGACAGTAGCAATAACCCTAAAAGTACATTTTGTGTAAGTTTAAATTTACTGTAATAGTTACCATTAGGTGCATATTTATAGTCTTACTTTTTAATTTTTTTGTATTTTTGCTTTTAGCATGTTTCATCTTTGTTATATATAATGCACATTTTTACATGTAACCTAGATTAAATGTTCAATACTAGTCATTCTCTTGATAAGTGTGGTCAGAAGTGGTTTAATTGAAGGTGTTCCATTACTTGGTTAACACATTAATTTACAAATTCAACTTGTTCTTCTCTTTGCAAAGGCCCTGAGACGGGAATTAAAGGAAAAAGAGTATTCTGTCCTGAACGCTATCGACCAAGCTCGAGTGTTCCTGGCTGATCAGCCAATTGAGGCCCCTGAAGAACCAAGAAGAAACCTACAATCAAAAACAGGTGAGATTGGCTTATTTTATTTACTACATTGTGAAAATACCTGTGAGAGAAACAAACCACTAATAAGCTCAAGTAGGAAATTTCCTCAGAGCATTTCATGATCTAGTATTTTAAAATTTCCTTACAGTACTTCAGGATCTGATAGTAAACATTTCTCCTAAATATTATTTAAAGTAATTATGTCTTTATTTTACAAATATCTGGATTTTAAATTAAAAAAGAAATGGTGAGCTATATCAGTAGCTTTTAAAAGGAAATTAACTACAGAAAAAATGATTAAAAGGCATACTGTAACTAAAAGTAATATATTTAAAAAATAGAAATGTACATTTCTGACATTTAAACAAATTGCATAAGTAATTGCAGGCAGAAGAATAATATTAAAACTACAATACCACACGTGGGTGGAACAAGAGGGGATTATGTAAAGTGAAATAAGTGAGGAGAAAGAAAAATACCAGGTGACTTCCATGTGTGGAGTATAGAAACACAAAATGAAAGAACAGACAAACCCAACCCAAAACAAAACTTAGAAATATGAGTTCAGAATTGAGGCTACTGGAGGGGGAAGTTAGGGATGAGGAACAAGGAGGCAAGAAGAGACTCAGTGGACTGTGGTGGATGATTCTGGGGGCTTTGGTGATGGACATGGTGTGGTAACAATCCTGAGCAGGTGTGAACCTATACCTCAATCATCTACAGTGTTGAAAACCAGTTTACCTTAATAAAAATGTTACAGGAAAAAGAAATGCAATAGTAAATATGTGAAATATTTAAATATCTATAAAGTAAGATTTTTAAAATTTCTGTTTTTTAAGATTATTGTTGATTTTTTTCTTAAATTTTTTTGGAATGCTTAAGTTTCCTGAACATTTAGGAACATAAACAGAATCAAGGCTTAAGGCAAGGGTCACTCAAACAATGTGCAGAATGATATAATAAGACACTAAAGTTCTTTCACAAGCAGACAGAAGAATTAATTTAATTTAATAATAACAACATGTACTATTTATGTAGTATGGTTTAAAATTGAAACAGTAGCTGCCTGTCTAGCAAATAGCAATAAATTGCCCAGTGAGCTTAAGAGATGAATGTTGGGTTCAACTTTCATCTGTATTATGATTCTTAGCTGTTGGCAATATAATGTTCTGATGCAGCTTTTTTTAAATAAACATGCCTTTAAAATATGTTTCCATCACTCACTTCACATAGTAAAAGACTCGAATGACTCCTTCATTGTGTCCAGCACTGTAACACAAGAGCATTTATTACTTTTAAGGGAAGTCCAATTGGAAAATGCTTCTCTCACTCCAGCTAAAACTGGAGCAGAAGGCCATTTAGAAAAGTGGCCATTTTCCTACTGAGCTTTTCCCAGGGAAACAACTTCAGTGTGAAAATTTTTCCCATCAGGGTCATGATTTTCTTGACTAGTCTTAATGTGTGTGTACGCAGACACAGTATCCTTTCTAGCATTCATTTTTATTTCCTGCTGGCGGTATTGCTGTCTTCGCAGTCGGCCTACTGGCACCTAAAGTGAGGTTGTATCTCCAGCTTTCAACAATACCATGGTTTGCAAATCATTCATAATTTTTATTTCTATCATTGAGAAATTATTCCTCCTGAGTACTCTGTTACATATGGATTATTAAAATGCAAGAAGAGATTAACACACAAAATATGTATGTGTCGTGGGTGCTTATTGCGTACTCGTTGAATGGATGGATGGGTGAGCTGAGTACTCTCGGATATGGCAGGATGTGTTCACGCTCAGAGGGGTGACCAGAGGGTGGCTAGTTCATCAGAAGTTGCAGCACCCAGCTCAGGAACAGAGTGGCTCTGTGTCTGGGAAAGTTAGCCATGGAGCCTGGCCTTAGAGCCAGGCAGGGGCTCATGCCTGGGCAGGAGATGGGAAGGAGCCAGGCACTAGTATGTGCTGTCTGGTTCAGATTAAGAGGACCTGGAAAGTTGGACGGAACATTCTGACTTAAGACAACAAGAAAAAAGACATGCTTATAGTTATTTTTTTTAAGTTGCAAGAAAGAAGTTCACTTGTCTCATCTTAGCCAATTTGAAGTCTACCTTGAATCTGCTTTTCTCATCTCCTTGCTTCTCCAGTACTTTCCAGAGAATAGGGCAAAACGTTTTTATAACAAATTACTTCATCTCAATAAAAAAAAAGTGTTATTATATCACTAAAACTTCCCTTGGCTATAAATTCTTCTACTCAGCGGTCAGTCTGTTTTAAGAGGTTAAAAAAAATAGTAGTACTTTTTGAGTTCTTTGCCATTACAGTCAAAATGCTTCTAAGCCCCATTTTCAGTCACTATATCACTGGCAGCAAGAAAGTCAATGTTGATTTAATTTTTTGATAGTTTTGTTTACCAAAAAATTTTTAGGACTAGCAGTTTTCATACTTTTGCCTTTCCTGATATTATTTTCTCTAATGCTGGCTGATTTTATCTGCCATTAAAAGCAAATGAAAGAAAATTATCCAAAATCATTTTTATCATTCCATTGTTTGCCATGACATATGTACTGCTGCTATTAGAACTAGAGAGCATTCAAACTTGAGTCATCTTGTGTGATGATACTTAAAATTATTCAGTGTAGAGGGGAGGGGGAAGGAGCAATCATATCACGACTTCTCCAGTCTTATTTAATAAGCGTTTATTGAGTCAATTATGCTATGGCACCCTATGGGTATACCAAGATGGAGCCATCTCTTTAAGTAACTATTCCAGAAAATAGTTCTTTCCATGATTTCTTTCTCTCGTTCCTTTTTTTCTTCTTGTGATAGTCCATGGAGTTGTATTTTATTACAGGAATGAGTTGCTCTCAGGCATCTGTTCACTGATAAATGCATTTAAAAACTAGCAAATTAATGATTTCAACTAAATGATCAGTTGCTGACAAAGAATCTCATCAGGTATGCTCTATTAATAACACTTCTTTGTCCCTCCAGTTTTATTGAAATACAGTTGGCACGTGACATTGAATCAATTCAAGATGGACAACATAAAGATTGAATATATGCACATTGTTCACACCACAGTCCCCACAATGAATTTAGTTAACATCCTTCTCCTCACGCAGTTACATTTTCCCTCATGTCTTGAGAAATTTCTTAGCAACATTCATATAGGTTTATTTTAAATACTTAAAATTCACTAATATTACTGCCCTACTTTAAACCCGTAGCACCTTTTGCTGAGATTATCACAATAGACTCTTAACTGGTATCTCTGTGTCCACATAGACACATCACTGTGTCTTAAACATAGAACTGGCATTTGTTCCCCTGGTTTAAAAACTGCCAGTAACTCCTTAAGAGGAATCCATCTTCTTCACCTGCACACAAGGTTAAACAGGGATTTGGCCTCAGCTTTCCTGTGGAGCAATGACTCCTACTTCTCTCTGCTCCAAACTAATGTCCACTCAGCAGCAGACTCATGATATTTTGCAGGTAATAATCTTCCTTACCTTTATTCTATTGCCCATCCTGTTTTTATTCTGCCCAGAGGTGCCCCCTACCCCACCCCGCACTACACATGATTTCCAGCACCTTCCTCATTTGCCTTCCTGGCCCTTGTCCATCCTCCCACTCAACACTTACTTTTTTCTCTCCTGTGCTGGCCCATGCAGCCTTGGCACCCTGCCATCTCTCTAACGAGGTACCAGTATCAGAAACCCAGTCCTTCCCTGGCTGAGTGACCTTCCTTACAGAGTCTTAAAGACGATGAAAAATTATCTGAGCAGCCAAGATTGATATGACATAGAAAATATAGTCAAGATCATCATATCACATTGATGAGCAGCTCTGTCAAGGTCTGAACTCTTACTTTGGATGTTGTAACTAGTTTAACTTGTTTTCCTGTGAATTACAGGTATGTTGAAAAATGAAAATGATGGGAGAGGGGACAATAGTGGTGGTGAGAAATGACTTCTGGCAATCTGTTAGCTATAAGGAGAAAGAAAATTATAAAAGGGATATATGAGAATTCTCAAATAAAATAACAGTAGTCTGTGGGGAGTTATACAGTAAGAACACTGAAAGTATGAATTATAGTCTGATTATTTTTGAAGACAGAATATAAATCAGTTGAGAGGCATAGGATCTTATATTTTAGTAAATTCCCTTCCAAAATGGCAACCATCAAAAACTGGCTTAAGCAGGTAAAATGTAGCTGTCTAGAGCACCAGCTACCCAGAGAAAAACTCCCCTGCTTGTAACTGGTTATTGAGAAAATGTGTTTTTTAATTGAACTAACATTATCTGAAAAATTACAGAAATGTTATGGAATTGAGAACTCTGCCCTTATCTTGTCTGAGGGATATGAAGCTGCATTTGATTTAATCTGTGTTGCCAGCATATACTTTCTGTTGAATTGTTTTTCATCTGATTCTACTTTATAGCTGGTAAAGAGAATAGAACCATACATTTCTTAGCATCATTTGGATAATTCTTTATACTTTTCAAACCGAAGTATACTTTATACTTTTCATTTCTACTCACTTTCCCACCGAGTTGGGCGGATCACACAATGTGACATTTTTGTAAATAAAAACACAAAATCCAAGAAAACCTTGTGGTGCTGACCGAAATTGCCAGCTAATGTAGAGCTGACCCAGGAACGGGGCACCAAGCTTCTATGTTAGAAACCTTTTTGAACCCCTGCAATTTTAGCTGGCTTTTAGTTTGCCTTCATTTTTATCTCTTCTCTCTCTGCTCATGGGCCACTGACCTCCTTGCTCTTTCTTGGTTTCAGTGTCAAGGGACTCTTAACCCTGTACAAATGTTTCTTAGCCTCTCCCTTGTTCTTCCCCTTGCTGTTCTCAGTCCCATATTTGAATTTGGATAAGACACCAGCAGGACTCACAGTCACTGTTGGGTGGAGCCCAGTTCCAGCCCCGACCTCTGGAGGTCGGCAGGGAATACCATGCATTCTTGCCTGAACTACAGTTCCGGCTAAAAGGCAGATTTGCATAGGGAAGTTAGAGTC